CCAGGCAGTGCCGCCTAGCTTACGCCAGCATCTCCGCCAACGCGTCTTGCAGAGCCTCACAACGAGCGTGACGCTAGCAGGCGGCGACGCCAAGACGGACGCGTCTGCCACTTTCGGCGAGTTTTAGCGCGTTTGACGTCTGGGGCGGGTCGGGAATTCACAACCGATGACGTCACGCGCGAGCCTTGTCTTCCAGGTGTGGTTGACCAATGCGTAGGCGCACGGTCCGGCCATAGCGGGAACGCGAAAGTGCCCGCTGAAAGGCAAGGTCGTAGACTCGTAGCCCGACTGGCGTATTTCTGCGTCGGGCCATTTGCATGCCGACCCCGCCCGATCGAGACCAGCCGTTAACGCTATATCACCCGGGCCGTTCCCACGGAACCGTCGTCTGCTACCATATCCCTGACCGTTGTGAGCCCATTCTGGATCTGCAGATAGCGCAGGTACCTTTTAGCGCGTTTGCCTTTTTCTTTCTTCCATCTAATTTCTAGAAGGCTATTTTATGCGCAGCGCGACGCGGGAGCAATGGTTTACCCTTTTTTACGTGGCAGCGTAATTTGAATCAGAATCATCTTGAAAGTATTTTGTAGTTGTTGTTTTCTTCGAGGGACATTATTCATTGATCGAGGTTATTGTTCTCGAGCGAACGCCACGGGGCATCCGGTGCTTGATAACATCGTCAACCTTATTCGAAGGAATATCAGTCCGCTCGTCTCACCTGCCCCTTTGATGCAGCGTCGCTCGGGTGGTTAATATATCCTTGATGCGTCTCGATATTTAAACGAGGCCCTCGGCCGGTTCCGGTGTCTAGTCGGTACCACCTAGAAGGCACGGCCTGCCCTTGCAGGTCTTGCGTTATAGGTAAGGCCTGCGGGGGCTTACCTAGACGTCAATGCGAACACGCGGTGACGCGGAGACGGACGCGTCTATGGCGCTGCGGAGTGTCTCGTTCAGCGTGTTTGCCGCTAGGGGCGGGTCGGTGATGCGCTAGCGATGACATCAGTGATGGAAGCGGCGTTTGACTTTTTCTAGGGGGTCTTGTGGAACGCAAACTGTTGAATAGGAGATAGGGACAGCCATTGACCCTTTTTGGGCAGATCCCAACGTGCCTTACCACATCGCACGAAAATTAAACGATGACTGCATCGCCAGATAGGTCCATCATTGATAATTAAGGGTTTATCCTCGATATCGGAGCACATTAGTACTTATACCTCTTCTAATTATAATACGTATAAAGATCATAAAAAAAAAAAATGAAAGCCGTTTACAACTCCCTGTAACACCGAATTAGAGCGCAGCTCTTGAAGAGAAGGGAAGGTACTGAAGGGAGGGTATACACCTTTCCACCTCATCCTCCCTGGTGCTCCTCCTCCCCTCTTGGCTCCTCCTTCTTCTCCCCTCCTTCCCCTCCTCCTCCCCACAACGTCACCAGGGCGACGTTTCAGCTTGGTGCCGAAACGTCACCGTGCCGAAACGTCACCGCAGTTACGCCGACGGCGACGCCGCTCAAGCCGGATACGGGCGCGTAAGAGCTGCGCTCTAAAAGTACTCCATGACACGCACTTTTCTCTTTCAGGAATAAGTGACTCCGATCAATGAACTGGAGGTTCCGTTTGCAATGGGGGTTAAAGAAAAAAGTTATTGAAAACTGAATCGCAGCCAGACACTCCAGTTTAGATAAAGTCTCTCCCACTCCCCCATAGTTATCATAGCCTGTCCATATCGTGCATTTACGTAAAATTCCCCCAAATCTAGCATATCCGCTAAAACGTCGATCAATGAAGATACGTTGCAGCCAGATACATGAACCTACGAAACACAACCCGCCCAAATATTATTCAAAATTAAAGTTGAGCTTTTACTTCTGCAAGAGTTAGCGGCATCGGAGCCAGAGTCCAGTCGCGGTTCGGAGCCCTTTCGATCGACTGCTGCTTCTCGGCACCGCTCTTTAAGATTAGAGGTCGACCTGCAATCAAGACCAAAAAAGTCGACCTGTCCATCGCGCTAACCCACGGGTAAGCCGCTTCTCCTAACACACCGATGCGACGCGGTGAAGCTCGACACGCACGCGCCCGTGCGAGGTGACGAAGGTTGACGCGAGCGGCCACTGTGCCACGACGTGGAGGCATGTGGCCGACATGAAAGTCATCTCATCAGGGGCGGTTGGTTAGTCATGCGGGTTTTCCTCCAGGTGGGTACGAGGGATTCTGAGGTCACCTGATCGGTTAGGAAGAAAAATACCCAGCGTTCCAGCCCAATCCGCTCGGAAGACGTAACCCTCGTATATTTTCTTTAGTTCTCGGTGAACACGACCACCTTTAATTTTTGTAGCACAAACCAAGGCATACGTGCTCCGCACACCTGCAAGTTCAGATTCGCCCCAGCATCCGCGCGCGACCATTGGCTACCGCCCCGTGACGTCACCTCCCCCTCGCCTCCTTCGCTACTCTCCTTTCCATGCGGCGCGCTTCCCTTTCCACTGTTTTATGCACAGGCGGACGTCGTCAGCTTTTCCCTGTCATGTAGGTAATAAATGCTCACGCATTAATGGGTCCATGAAACGATTCTTTTAACTTCTTCCTTAGCTGCAATTCTCAACTCAAAAGCGAAGTGAGAAATCAGACGGTCGTGACATGCTAGGGCACCGGTGAGATGGCTCCAAGCTTCCACCGTGTTTTTTATGCACACCATAGAACTTAGCATTCGCAAGTATAATGCTAAGTTCCGTCAGGGCACTCATCGGCCGCGAACGCAAATCCAAATATAAGTCGACGGCTTGATTGTTGACGAGCTCACGTCAAACTGACGCAGTTCTCGTGTCCAATGCGTGAGCTTGTTCTGGAGCACGCCTCCCGGCATGAGCTGCTTGCATTGACAGTGCTATGGCGGCATTTTGTTATCTGCTATTTTATTTTTCCATAGAGCGCGTGCAGCGAGCATCGACTACTGTGATTCTCCATCCCACACACGTCTGAGGTAAAGACAAAGGCCCAGGCGCGTGAGCCGAGCTCAGCAGAATGCTTCTGCTTGCACGGGAACTCGTGCATAGGAGGCACTTTTCAAAGTCATGCACTCGTGCCCTTGCCTTCGTCTGCGCTGCAGATGTTTGTGAAATGGAGTATACGAATACCCTGTACTTCGTCTCACCTAAGCATAAACTATTGTTAGCCACGCATGCTAAAAGCGCCAGCTAGTTGCTTTGGATGAAGCCTCGGCGGCTGCACGAGCGCTCGTGCAGCGAATGCTCCAGTCAAGGCAGACGCCCTACGTCGCAAACTACGCCATCAACAAGTACAACATCAACGACAGACGTACCATTTCCAGTGGCGGGAAGAGCACACAACAGCTATCGCTGCAAAAAGAAACAAAAGCGTTCGGAATAAAGCAAGTGTCTATTTTGCTCAGAACGCATTTGTTCACGAAACGCGGCGCCGACGCCCCACGACTATGCCGAGAGGTGCTGCAACACAGAACTGTTCATTTTTTTTTTTTTTTTTCTGTCTCGGTATTTTGTTTTCTTGAAGCCTGTCACGGAGCCTTACATGGGGACGGCCAACATACCATAACTGCATAACAGAAGGCGCCAAATGAGAAGCAAAACAAAGGTAGGGAGAGCGAAATAAGGGACAGTAGAATAGGCGTTGCCCCTCCGCTAAGCCCTCCATCCACAACGAAGAAGCCGCTACTGCGCCTGCGCGGACATGGCCTTGACTGTACAGTTCCGGGTTTCGTAAAGTGTTGCGGAGAGCATTGCGGTACGGCCAAAAAGATCTACGAAAACTCCCTACTGATTCAATTCTTTTTTTTTTTTTTTTTCTTTTTTCCTGACCAGGTCATTTGTCTGCGAGACGCGGGGGGCCGAAGTGGTGTATTGCTATGCCCGGGGGGTCCCGAAGAGGACAAACCTGCCAAAGGCTTAGCTCAACCACCAGGATGCGCTTTTGCCACGCACAGGCAGGCGTAAATGGGTGAACCCACATGGCTATCTCAGCAAACGCTCCCTGCGTGGGGGAAACGGCAGAGTCACCATCTTTTATCCCGTTTTTAATAGCGAAATCGAACGTATACTGGTCGTTATATAGATATATATATATATATATATATATATATATATATATATATATATATATATATATTTTTTTTTTTAAGACGGATAAACCAGTGGAGGGTTCATGCGCCGCGTTTTCACATGGCGAGGAGGAAAGCAGGCAGAAATGCGGAGACGCTCGCAGACGACCAACGCGTTCGTCACCTCCTCGCACATCGTATTGCAAACGCGGCCCATAAACCACGTGCCCTCGCTCGAGCAGTTGGACACTCTAGCGGCGAGATGTTTCGGTGGCGCCCTCGTTCGGTTACCTTTCGTGACGTCATTACCTTGTGAACAACAAGTTCCATGGTGTTTGTATTTGGCATGGAGGAAGCCTGAAATCATAACGAGATCTCAAAGCAACACTGCCGACACCGTCAAAATTGAAGTTCTTACATTCCTCTTATTTCCGTCGTTGAGACATCCTTTCCTGACGTCATAGCCAGCATTCGGCCAATTGTGGTGGGCCGACCACAGCGACGCTTTCGATCGCTCACGTCGTCATATTTTGTGGAGCAGACAGCTAAGGAAATCTGGATGCTCGGAGCGCGCCTTGGTGTACCGGAGAACCCATGTAGTGCAATGTCTTCGTGGGAAATACCACTCGATGCAGAGAAGGACACCAATCTCCGACTGGAACGATTAGTGGTAGACACAAAACTAGCTGCCTATGTTTCCATTCACTCATTAAATGCACTCGAACGCTGGCGTCCAGAGTTGTCTCAGTATTCCAACGCATTGAAATACCGAGTAGAGACAAAGGCTTCTAGCTTTGCATCTACCCACTTCTCATTCCAGTCAGAGCTCGGTGTTCCGAAGTCCATTCTTGTCTCCTCCTCGTTTTTACCCACATAGTCGATGACTGCGTGCGTCAAACACTTGCCACGCACACAGACAGTCCGTAATGTATGTTGATGAATGGTATAAGTTTTATTTGCACGTTTGGTGGTGATGGTGTCGTTACATTTTGTTTTCCAAGTGACACGCAACTCTCGCGAGACAAACTCGTAAAGGCGCTCTCTGCGCAACCAAACACACAAGCGGAGAGGGGCACGCAAGCGCCGGCGAGGAAACCTCCTTCCGATTTGCCGCAACGTCGTTCTAGCATTTGGGTCTTATCTATTTTTCATTTAATGGCACGGCACTGCACGACAGCCGTGCCTAGTTCGAGGAATGCAAGCACCCCAATAGCCTCCCTCCTTCCATACTCCAGTCAAGTTCGTAGGTTTGTTTACTTGTGCACTTTTCCAAAAGCCGAGTACAAACTCTTATACAACAGGCAGTACTGCCCGTTGTATAAGGGTTCGTACTCGGCTTTTGGAGAAGTACTCGCACGTACGTCGACCTGAACATGAAACTCTGCTTCTGGTACAAAAACTAACTTCTGTTCTTCAGCACTCCATTACCCCAGCCGCTTAGATTTCAGGTGCAGCCCAGGGGCAGAAAAACGATTGTGTTGTTCGGCATCATCCCCAGCGCTACAATCTCAGCAGAAGGGGACTACTGAATGCCGGTACCAGATCCTCCTATTCTTGCCACATTCAGCCTCAGTTCCACCCTCGAGCCACACTCTTCCTGTCCAAAAACCCTTCAACCATAGAACGGGTTATGGGCATGGAGGAAATGACGATAATGACTTGCGAGTGGCTCGGAGGCGAGGAAATTCAATCTGGTACCATACGGTCAAAGGGGTCGAGGGAGAATGAACACGTTGAGTTACGACGCTGAACACGGCACAGAAAGGGTGACATCATTCCCTCAAGGTTGCCCTTCATGTTCAGGTCGACAGCTTTCTACGGCCCTTGGGACGAATGCTCTACACGGTCGGTGGTGTCCGGACAACGCACGTGGTTCAGCCGTCGTCCCTGGGATGTCTCTGGGAGGTTACAAATAGGGTGTAGACTTTCCGGTGTCTATTTAGGAGGCATTTTGGCAGATGTGTCTTGGCATTCATTCATTTTTCAAATATTGGTGTATTCTGTCGATCTGTTTCGAACCGACACTAAGAACTGTGATTATTGGTGGAAAAATTTGAATGAAAAACTAAGAGAAAGTCCAAGGGCTTCAACAAAAACGGTCTAGCCGGAGCAAATTGGCATTTTCCAGTTTTAACCGATTTTGCATTTTTGACACCAACAGCTGTTTCCATAGTAACACCGAGACGTAGGAAAAATAAAAAAACGGACAGAGCAACGAAGTCTCTATTTATTATTCGTAGGTCTCAGAATTACTATGGATGTCATTCACCAGCTCGCCTGCGTTTCTTACTTTCTTCAACAGTTGTTTACTGGTGTTTTTTTGTTAAACCGATCTTGCATATATAAAACCGACGGACATTTATCGGTGTTTTTCGGCTAAAACCGGAAAGCCCACGGCCTAGTTTTGACATCCTGGGGATATCCACTGGACCGTATATGCAGTTAGGATGCCTTCTTTCCAAATATGTAAAAGATTAGACCCACAGCTTATTACAGTGGTGACCGGAATGAAGAGGAGCTGGCTGCCCTACTGTCCCCAGAATTATAAATAAGTCAGCCGTTAAGTAAACGCTCACCCCTCCTCGAGCATACGGATTCACCCAGCAAAGAAAGGGACGCCAAATGACAACCGATAAGTAAACGCGACACATCAGCGAGTAGTGAAAAGAAATAGGCCCACCGTTTTTCACAAACTTTGCGTGCCCCCCTCCTCCCCCAACTCATCTCACTTCCCCCCTCCCCCACAAGAAAACGACTAACAGACGTTCATCGTGCTACAAAATCTCTTAGAAAAAAGAGGCAGGGCTATGCGGCAACTGCCACGACGACACGAAGCTGGCACCCAAAACGTCGGCTCCACAGCCGACTATGGGCCGGCTCAGTTGTATTTGCCGACTTTGGGTCGGCTCCAAAACAAACCTCCAAAGTTGGCTTCAAGGCTAACTCCAAGTCGACTCCACAGCCAACCTGCGAAGTTGGCAGTGAAGCCAACTCCTGGTCGGCTCTAAAGCCACCTCACAAAGTAGGCCCCACAGCCGACCCGTAAAGCTGGCTCTAAAGCCGAATCCAGGTCGGCTACAAAGCCAACCCGCAAAGTCGACTTGGCTTTGGAGTGTTGCAGTGCAGGCTGACGCCCACTTGGGAGAGAAGGGAAACTGCAGGTACCGTTACAAAAGAGACTAGACCGGCTAGAGCTCTGCCGACGTTGGACCGACATCCGCAAAGCCATGCCAAAGTAGCCGTTGCGATGGAAACGTCCGTGCCGTGCCGGCAGCGTGCCGGCAAAAAGTTTGTGCCGCGTTTGCGTCGCACAAAAGAATGCAAAGGTCACCGCAATGCCGAATCGACGTTGGCTCAATGTCCGTACGACTTCGCACGCATGACCGACATTACAGGGACACTGCAGGTCGGAGCTCCCGCTCGAGAGCACCCGCACTGCGGCAGTATAACGTAAACGTTGGAACATTTCCACACACGCGCGACAGTAGCCTTAATTACGCAACAGCACGCCAGCAGGTTGTGACGCACGTCGTGCCAATTTGCCACCCGCCCACAGGCGTCACGCCGGCAACGTTGCCGCAACATTGCACCGGTGGTCCGTCACCACGCATTCCCGTTTCCCATCGCCTAAATTAAGTACGCTTCCCAACGTGTTCCTGTTGAGTATGGGGCCGCAAGGTCGGTCGCCCGACAACGGTTCGCGCTCGGGAACGTCGCGCTCGCGTCGGTGGTCCGCCCAGGTTGCCACGACGCACGGTCGCAGGAACTACGTGCCCGGCGACGCTGCACGCCGGTCTTGGGGTTGAGGGAGACCGGAGACGTTGAAGCCCCCCTCTGCAAAGTAGGCGAGCAGGCTGCCTTGCCGAAGGTAGTGGTGGTGCTTTGGTAGAAGAGAGTGCGACGTTACCACGGCGACGGGCGCCATGGCCGCTCCTTCTCCAGTGCGCCGCTCCGTACGGCTTTCTTCACATGCGGGCAGCCTTCTGCTGGATGAGCTGCGAGAAAGAGACGAGGCATTGTTCGCGAACCGTGGGTCAAGCACTTTCTGGGTCTTGGACCCAAAGCCCAAGGCCCACTTCAAAGGGGGCAATTTTTTATAATAATATTAACAATAGTGTTGATTTTTCGTCCATTTCCCCAGAAATTTCGGCATTGCTGGCGAGTTGTTCCCTAGGTTTCTAGATCCTCGCGCTGCAGCATAAATAGCTGGGATTGAGTCCGGCTCGAATTGGGCGAGCAACTTGGACAACTCGGGGGCGTTTGAAGCGACAGCAGCCAATCAGGGATGCGATATTTTCACGTGACACCCCTGTGGTGGCAATGATGACTGCTTAAAGGGGCACTGACACCCCAAAAGTCGTATTCTTTTTTAATGTTTAAAACGATGCAAGTTGTAGTCCTAGACACGCAAAAAAAACGCATTGCAAAAAAAAACTTCCTTGTGCGTGCCCGCGCCTTTTTATTTTTGGCGTTTATATCTCCCGCGCTCACCTCCTTGCTTCTTTTGATCGGTGACGTCAAAAATCAGGAAACTTAGAAGCTTTGTAGGCGACATTTCTATAACATTTAATGACGGCGATCGTAAAGCATGTTTCTTAACGCAATTGCGAATGCACTACGGCCTCTTTTTGAAATACTAAAAATCAGACTTCGGTATGATGTCGCTTCTTGGATTTGTATCCTCCCTCGGAAAACTTGGCTGCGCTAGAGCAGAGGATGATCGGCGAGTCGGGAAAGAAACCGTTTTTTCCCCGCGCCTGCGCCCTTCTATCCCGCTTGCTCACCTCCTCCTTGCTTCGGGTCGCAGTGGAAACGGTGCTTTGCTTCGTAGCGTGGAGCGGAGGTCCGAAAGAAAGTCGAGTCACAAAAGACTGCAAACTTTGACTCACTGCATTGGCGCAAATCGCGCAGAAACTTCAAATTCTGCATTTGGAAATTGTTTTTTTAATTCAGAAATACTGGATTCCCAAGTTTCGAATTTTGAGGGTAATGTTCCGGCATCATTTTCAATCGTTTCGGATAATAAAATAAAATATGATTTTGATGTGTCAGTGCCCCTTTAAGACAGGGTGGGTCTTGGTTCTTGTTAGGAATGAATAATTTTTAGGAAATAAATAGTTTCAGAAAGATTAATCAGTATTCTAAATGCCATTTAAAGATATAAAAACACATTTACAATGATTTAATGGGATCAGGTCATTCTGGAAAATCTTTTGGAGTAGCCAAAAGTTAATTTTGTAGCAGCAAAAGGAACCTTTGGAGCAGTACTGTGAATTTCGTTTGCATTTTATCTACTATGAATAACATGTTAAAAAAGTCATGTATTGACACATCAGATAAAAATACATTGTCTTTTTTGCTGTCACACTGCCGTACAACTACTAATCGTAGCTTCCTTACAATGTAATTTTCCTAAACACTGAGCTAGTCGCTCAGCCCTACTTTAAAGCACCAGACATAGAAATAAAACAATCTTATGTAACAAGTATGCTTTTGTTCTTTAGCAGCAGCTGCATCTTTTTTAAATTCTAAAAAAGGCAATAATAATGCAATTCTTATGTCATTTCTAACAAAGATTTCATCATTCTAGCACACCAATAACCTTTTGCATGTGGATGGCTTAATGGCTGCAAAATTTGTATGTAGGTAACAAACATGTTTACTTAAAGGGCAACTCCAGTCGAAAACAAAATCAAAATAAATTTTTGGTATCACTTTAGTGCCACAAAATATTATCACAGCCAGAATATTAGATCAAAATGAAACCGCATACTCCACTAAACCAGATTTTAAAGATTTTAAAGATGCGACCAGCTGCTCTTTAGCAGGCGGCAAGCGGGTTAGCTTTCAATCAGGGAACACTGGCACAGCACTTTGCCGACGTCACGTCACAGTAAAGCTGCCGTTGATTAGTTGCATCGCGTACCACACCACCCTTACAATGTCACATTACGGATTTGGATTTGCTGGCATCCCCTTTGTATCGGGTGGCCGCTCGCTGGAAGTTTAGATGAGGGCCTGCCAAAGGCCAGCTTAGCTGGGCTCATCAAGTGCCCAGCCGAGAATAGCTGGGTTTCTCTTTGTCTCCTTGGCCGCCTACGTCTATAGGTAGGTGTCTGCAGGAGCAGCTGGGGGCTGCAGCTTTGACTCAGTCCTGTGTATCCAGGCCCATCCGCCTCCGACTCTTCCAGCTCTGCCAGGAACGCTCCCACCACCGCTCCAGCCTTCGTTTGGTCGTCTCGACTTGTTCTCCGTTGTTCTCTTCACAGTCTGCACTTGCACGCACTGAACTTTAGCCTCAGCCTGTTGCCTTTCTGTGTACATATGTCCAAAAGCTGCTGAAGGTTCTCATACGAGCCTGCGGTCAGCACCAGATCATCCGCGAAGAGAAGTCCTCACCGCCTGTCCGCCGTCCACATATGATAGGTCCAGACCTTTCCCACAATTCTCCAATTCTGCCGTTCACCTCGACATATACAGCATGAACAGGAGTGGAGATGGGCCATCTCTGTCGCAGGCCCCCGATTACTGGTATTGGCTACGTGCTCATGCCCTCCCACTCCACCACCACTGTTGTGTCCCTGTACGCTCTTGGAGAAGCTCAAGAACTGCACCCGGCACTCCGATCTGAGTCAGTTCCCACCAGTTGTGAGTAGGAGATTTAGTCGTAGGTCTTCTCAATCTGTAAGAAGGCAGCCCATAGCTGACTCCCCTTCTGCCATACAATCTCAATTGCTTGGGTCAGCATGTATAGGTTGTCTTCCAGCCGTCAGCCATTTCTGAATCCATCCTGTAGCTCGCCCAGTACAATCTCTTGCTCTGCCTTACCTTGCAGTCTGCGTCTCACAACTTGCATGCCGACCCTGTACTGTAGGAATCACGGTGATGGGCCAATGTTTTGTCAGGTCCGTCCTCTCCCCCGTTCCTGTATCAATGAGCTTCACTCTCCCGTGTCTCCAGTCTCGAGGCACCTCTTTCTCGTGTAGGACATCTCCAAGTGCGCCTCGGAGAGCTTCCTTCATCTTGGGTCCCAGTTTCTTCAGGATGCTCATTGGAACGTTATCAGGTCCCACGGCTTTGCCTGCTTGCATGCTCTGGAGGATTTGGTGTAGTTCCATTTTTGATGGTCGTTCCAGCATGTCTAAGCTTCCCTGCTGTCATCCTGAATCGGTCCTGGCTCTCCCGCCCTAGTTGTAGTAACAGACCATGCAACCTCCAGCTGTGCATCTCCATAGAGCAGTTTTGCGACTAAATGAGGCACTGTTCGCACTTGACGATTTCGTGGGTCTGTGGACCCTTTAGGTGCTGTATGCACTGCTGTTGTTTGCCTTCTGAGGCGCTTCATTTGCCTCCAGAATTTCTTGGGTGCTGCTCTTCTACTTCGCCTTAAGTCCTGTAGCGTATGGTTTCCCACTGGTGTTCTTCTCATTTGGACCACTCGTTTGCACTTTTGCTTGTTTCTATGTACTTCTTCCATAGTTTTTCACTTTCTTATCTCTCTCACCCCAGTGGCATCTGCAGGCCTACTGGCGAACGTTAATGGCTCACTTAATTTCAGGGTGCCACCAACTTTTTAGGACCCTACTTGTTGACATGCCCTTTTCAATCTTTATCTTTTTTTATTTCTAAGCTAATGCAGCTCACAATGCTCTCATAGCCCATGTCTTTTGTCTTTGTCTGCTACCTTTTCTAGCTTTCTGGCAATCTCTTCAATTTCATCCTCTCTCAGGGTACTCTCCTTGGCAAGACGGGTACCATTTCTCTGGGTCTTGGTCCGCCAAAGAGAGTCAGGATCCTGTTGTGGTTGCAGCCAACGCTTGCTACACCCTCCTCGTTGATGGTCAACTTGGCCAGTTTCGTGCTGATCGTTGGTGTCGTGAGGACATAGTCAATACACGACGTTCGGTCTCCGAACACCCAGGTGTAGTTTTGTTCCCACATGCCCCGAGTGTTTTCGAGGACTAAGCTATTTGTCTCAACTAAGTCCAGTAGATATTGGCCGTTTCTGTCTCTCCTACCGTGTTGTTCCTCAATGTGTGCGTTGAAGTCCCCCAGGAGGTTAATGTTTTCCCCACTCTACCTCATCTCCTGAATGTCCTCATCCAAGCCTTCAACCACTTCCTTGTGTTTCTCCTTCAAACCTTTCCCAGTCCACCAGTACACCACAGCAACTGCCACTGGTGTTCCTGCTACAGTGCCCCTGATCCCCCCGTGCTTGCAACACTCCATTTCTGCTCTTGTCCATTTTTCATTGTTTCGAAAAAAAACTCCCCCCCCCCCCCCCCCCCTCCACTTTTTCTTATTTCACCTTGCCTGTTGCAGCCCTCCCAAACTAGGCCTGGAAAAATGGGTGGAGCTTCCCCCCCTCGCAGTTGAGTCTCCATCAGCCCAAAGACAGATATTTCTTCCTTGTCCATCGTGGCTGCCACTTCGTTCCACTTGGCTTCTCCCCATCCTCCTTGTATATATATAGGAAGGCCACCTTTGTTCCCTTTCCCCACCCTTTTCTGCGTCGCCGTCATCTTCGTCTTCGCTTCTATGGTCTGTGGGTCTCCCCCCCCGGTCAAACCTGTGTCAACTGGAGTTCCTATGCTGACTGGTGACTTAGGAGGTGTCCACCTGACACTTCACCATATGTCCAACCATTGACACCAGGTGGGGGATGGAGCCACCTCAGGGTGCCAGGAGGGGCGGGGGTGCCAGAAGGGGTGGGGGACTTAGGATGAGGTAGGCCTGTGGAGGACTGTGCTCTGCTGGGAGTTGCAGGGTTGGGTTGGGGCGGTGTGTGGGCCATGCTTCCCCAGCCGGTGCCTCTCCCTCGTCTTGTCACTCTAGGCTCCCAGGGGTGCGCTTTCCTCGTCTGTGTATGCCTAAAAAAACAACGTATCATACAAGCCAGGCAGTCTGCCACCTTCCTTGCTCCTTCTTCCCTACAGTGAAGTCTGCCTGCAGTCGTGTCCTGACCATGGAGGTCTTTGCTCAGGTTTATGTAAGT